AACTTAATTACCGTCTTCTTGAACCCTCCACGGGCCTCCGGGCGCCTCCAGGGCCCCCAGGAACCTTCAAGATTTTAGGGCCTCCAAAACCCCATAGCCTCTGGCCTCCAGGGGCCCTCGGGCCCAAAGCCTCGGGCCTTGAGCGGCCTTCAGAGCCTGGTCCAGGCCTCCAAAAGCCTCCCCAAACATCTGCAGCAGGCTCCAGGACCCTCCCAAGGGCCTGCTGCCTCGAATCCAGGGCCTGCAGGGACCTCCAGTGGCCTTCAGGGGCCCAAACCCTAAATCCTAAACCCTAAATCCTAAATCCTAAATCCTAAAACCTAAAAAAAGCTAAAACCTAAAAGCTAAAAGCTAAAACCCAAAAGCTAAACCCTAAATCCTAAATCCTAAAACCTAAAACCTAAAACCTAAGCCCGTAAAGTCTCAAACGGGAGCAACGACCATTAAGGTTTGAATATATATAGGTAGAGAGGGTTTAGGGTTTAGGGTACCCTCCCCCCCCAGGCTTTAATGAGCTAATGAGGACTATATAGGGCTTGATAAGGCCTTACTAATGGTTCAGGGTTTAGGGGTTTGGGGTTTAGAGATTTGGGTTCAGGGGTTTAGGGTTTAGGGTTTAGGGATTAGGGTTGAGGGTTTAGGATTGAGGGCTTTAGGGATTGGGGTTCTGGGTTGGGGGTTTAGGGTGCAGGGTTGAAGGTTTAGGAAATCAGGGTTTTAGTTAGGGATTGGGGTTTAGGGTTGAGGCTAGCGGGGTTTAGGGGTCTAGGGTTGAGGGCTTAGGGTTTAAAATTTTTGGGTTGGGTATGAACATCAGTAGCAGTAGTAGTGGCGGCAGCAGCAGTGTGCAATGTCAGGAAACACTGGGAGCCGCGTCACTTGGGTAGAAGGGCAACAGGGAGGTTACACCATTCATTTAAAAAGGGATGTCTGCTGGTCGGGAATCTATAGCAACTAGACCCCTAAACCCAGAACCCTAAACCTAAACACTCAACCGGAAATAGAATCAGTTTCCACGTTCTTTTCCATTATGCCTATAGATGTACAGTACCAAAGATGCAGAACCTGCCATATGGTTTAGGGTTTAAGATTTAGGGCTTAGGGGCTTCAGGTCACAAGCACTAATCACCTCGCCTGGTTGATAAAACCCCCCTTCCATAAACGGGATATATCAAGCTTGTATTTTAAGGATTAAGGGCTTGAAGTTTAGGGCTGATATGGTAGCTTCCCAAAATAGGGGGACCCCAATATAGACCCCCAAAACGACAGTCCTTATTATAGGGACCCCCAAAAGGGTACCCCTAATTTTAGGAAACCCCCAAATCATGATCATCATGACGAGCCCAGAACATCCTAATTCACCCGCGGAGGGCTTCGGGCATTAGATCTCTGCAACTACCTCCGGATTTCTAGGGTTTAGGGTTTACGGCTTAGGGTTTCGGGCTTAGGGGAGTTTACCTCAAGCTGCGAACAAAAGAAAAGGCTTTGGGTCGGGGTTAGGTAGCCTGACCAGCTACCAAAACGGACCATAGTCTTATCTCCTAGCATCACTTGGGTCATTCCCCCTTACAATAACTGTTACCACAATGGGTTATTGGAGTTATAAGAACCCCCTTAATAAGGCCCCTTTGAGGACAGTTACTGGGAGGGGGAATGACCCAAAGTATCACCTTCAGAATATCATTACTACTCCACTATATAACCCCCTATATACCCAGACCCCCTACTAAAGGATCCAAAAAATGGAACTAATCCCCTAGTTTCCCCAATGTAGTAATGGGTTCATATCGGGGGGATTCCATTTTTTGGATCCTTTGGGGGGTCTGGGTAATTCCCTCTTAGGAGTTTAGACGATAGCTCACATGTAGAGTTACCAATATGATGTTGAGGTCTATTTGAAGCACGCCCTAAACCCAAACAAAACCCTAACCCGAAATCCCTAAACCCCACCTAGACGCTCCAATGTCGTACCTTTTTGGTAGTCCCAATAAGAGTCCTAACCCAAAAGCCATAACACACCCGAAAAGGAACTACAGTGGAGGGTCCAGGTAGACCCTAAACTCGCAGTCCCCGAAGCGTCATGTCATACTCGCGGAGGCCGCCCAACGCCTGCAATGGCAAAGACTCCGCAGAATGAATGCCTGAACCCTAAACTCTAAACTGCCCTAATCCCTGGACCCTAAACCCTAAATCCGTGACCCCAAACCCCTTAACCCCAAACCCCTGAACCCAAAACCCCTGAACCCAAAATCCCTGAACCCTAAACCCCTAAATCCCTAAACCCTAAATCCTAGCCTTGAACCCTAAATCCATGAACCCAATCCCTGAACCCTCAATCCCTAATTCCGAACCATAAACCCTAAACCCCTGAACCTGGGAGTCTTGACTGTCCTTGTTGCAAGTGCTGCGTGGCTTGGGCCACTGGTGGTGATCTTAGAACCTTAAACACTACGGATATCTTAGAGTTTAGGGTCTAGGGCTTGGGGTTTAGGGTTCAGGCAGTAGTTTCAGTTTCTACGTTCTTTTCCGCAATTCTAACCCTACATGACGCCTATCAGTTCAATTTTGTTTGCCCTGAAGGACACCATTTAGAACCCCTGCAAGTTCCATGTTCTTTGCCATTGGCCTACCCCCCATAAAGCCCCTTTGATAAATCTCCGTGAAGTGTCTACACCTAAACCCTAAACCCTGAACCCCAAACCCTTAACCCAAAACCCAAAACCCTAAACCCCAAACCCTAAACCCTACATCCTAAACCCTACATCCTAAACCCTACATCCTAAACCACTTGAAGCTATAATTCGTGGACTCCGACCCCAAGCCAGTTTTAGTGTAGCTCTGTAGTAGCATCCCAGACCTGACGTACTGATGCGCGGCTTAGGGAAAAATCCGAAACCCTAGACCGGAATAAATAAACCCTAAATCCTGAATCTAAACCCTGAACCCTAAACCTACACCCTAAACCCTAGACTAGAATCTAAAGAACCAGAGGGGTCCGGTAAGAACTAAACAGGAATGCCCATGATGTCCTCACGATCCCTAAGTATTCCTTGGGGCTAGGGTTAAAACCGCAGCCCAAAGCCCAGAAGCTTTTATACCATCATCATACCCTCCCTTAACCCTAGACCCTATACCCAAAATCCTAAACCCTAAACCCTAAGCCCTAAAACCGTAAGTCCTAAAACCATAAACCCTAACATGGCCTGTGGAGTTTGGGAAGAGCCCCCACTCTGCTGTGAGGGTGGGGGGCCCATTTGCACAGGGGCCGCCATCATCGGAGGATAGCCAGGGCCCATGGCCATTGGCATCCCGTAGCCTGAGCTGTGACAATTATTTAGGGCTTAGGGTTTTAGGGATGTTTAGGGTTGAAGGTTTAGGGTTTTTAGGGTGTAGGGTTTTAAGTTTTTAGGGTTTAGGGTTTTAGGGTTTAGGGTTTAGGGTTTCTGCTTTAGGGGTTTAGGGTTTTAAGGGTTCGTCCTTAATATTAATATGAGCACTCGTATTCCTAGGAGTGGTAGTAGAGTATTATTCTTCCTAGTGATGATTGTCGCAATTCTTAGTAGTAGTAATACTATACTTATTTGTTATGCTACTATCTTTATGGGTTTTATCATTTGTTTCTTTTCATCCTTATGCGCAGTAGTAGAAAGACATAAAGGCATTGTTTATGAGCGTCTTCGCTGTTATGCCTACAGGTGTTCTGGGTAACCCAGACCCCTGATTAATGAAACCCATCCCCTTAAAAGGGATTATACTAGGGATCCTGATTTAGGCCCTTAAAAGGAGAGGGTTTATTAATCATGGGTCTACATTATTGAGTTTCAGCCTTGGGGGGGGTTCAGGCCTTGGGTTTTGGGTGGCTTTTGGGAGCTTAGTTGAGTCAGAGCCGTTCGCCACATATCCATGTTACTAAGGCCACACCCTCTGAAGTCAAGTCAAAGTGGTGACCCTCCAAACCTAAGCCCCTAAACCCTAACCCCTAAACCCATAAACCCTTATAGACACTGAACCCTAAACCCTAAACCCCTAAGCCCTAGACGGTGTACCACCGAAAATCCCGAAACAAATCGGAAGTTCTGGGGATTCATGCGTCCCGGTTTAGGGTTTAGGGTTTAGGGCTTAGGGTTTAAGGTTTAGGGTTTAGGGTTTAGGGGAATCCTTCGGCTCTTAGTATGACGAAAGCCCAATACACTTAGCCCTGCGCCCCAAGACCCGCAACATAGTGGCTCAAATAGGGCTTTAGGGTTTAGGGTTTAGGGATATGTAATGGTCTGGAAAAGAATATGGAGACACTTATTTGCATTACAGAAGCTGTGTAAGGGCTAGCAAACGAATCCGACCTCAATTTTCTACTCATCACCGTAAACCCTGAAGCGTAAATGCTATGGTGGTTTCCATTGTCTTTTCCTTTCCTCCACGCGTTTGATAACCATTAATGCAGCCCTCAACCCGTACTCCTAAACCCTGAATCCTAAATCCTACACCCTAACCTTAAATCCTAAACCCTAAATCCGGAACCCTAAACTGCATATTTCATTTCCCAGATTATTCTGCATTATCCCCTTCGAATCATACAGACCCGCTATATAAGCTATAGTATAGGGCTTAGGGTTGAGGGTCTAAACTTCTAGTATCCCCCTTAATCAGCCCTGAAATTGATCCCCTAGATAACCCCTCTTAAGGAGCTTAGACTATACCTGAACCCTAAACCCTATATGGCCCATATAACCGCTTCTATAGTCCCTCTATGGCGTATATGGGGATCTCATTGTGGTTTTGGGGCATTCCATATTCTACCGACTCAAGTGGGACTAGGACTAAAACCCTAATAATCCCTATACCATCTCTATGTGCCCCAATATACCTAAACCCTAAGACCTATTTTGGGGAAGTCCATATGCAATTACTTAAGGGGGACTATAACCCTCATAATTCACTAATTATGAAGTCTCAATTTTACCCAACATAGCTAAGCCCTGAACCCTAAACCCTAAATCCTACACCCTAAACCCTAAACCCCAATCCCTAAACCCTAAACCCCAAACCAAACTTACGTAGGGCCAAAAGCTACAGCTTTGCGACCGAAGCACCAGGCTGCCGGTCCTCCATCAGGGCGGCCTCCATAGCCATGGTAATCCGGTCCATGACTATTTGGGGTTTGGGGTTCAGTTTAGGGTTTAGGGTTTAAGGTTTAGGGTTTAGGGTTTAGGGTTCAGGGCCTAGGGTTTAGGGTTTAGGGGTCTAAACTCCTCAAAGGGGTTTAGGGTGTGTGGTTTCAGGTTGGGGCTGATGGCTTTGGAGCTTAGGGTTTAAGGCTTTAGGCTTTGGGGTTTAGGCTTCGAAGCTCAATTCAAGGTGCCGGGCTCACGGCTCAAAACAGCCCCCGCCGTCCAAAGTGCCTATGTAAAGGGGTATGTAGGGGAATGGAAAAGGACTTTGAAACTACTGTATACAATTTGGGCTTAGGGTTTAATATCATAGTAATTCAACGCACTCTCCAATCAAGTCCCATGATCGTACCTGTGTATAATGAGGGGAGTATTTATTCTTGGGGGCAGGGAGGCTGCTAGCATTTGCTAGCAAAAGAGCTTTGTTTGAGGGCTCAGGGATTTGTAGAATATAGGGGCTTAGGCATTTGGGTTACGGAGGGTTCAGGGCTTTTGGGAGGGTTGGCTTTTAAGGGCCTCGGGTTTAGTTGTTCCGGCGTTTGCTTGGGGGGGGGGTTGAGAGGGCTCAGGGTCACAGGGCTTAAAGGGCTTTAAAAGTTTTTCAGAGCTTAAGAAACGGAGGAATTTCTGCCCTGCACACCCGCCCTCTGATATTGGTTTTGGCCATAAGAATGATCCGTGTTTTGGGTTTTTGCCGCTTAAAATGACAATAGCCGCACTTGTATTCTTGCATTCGATGCTGCAGCTCCAAGCATCAGCATAACAAAAAGGATACGACGAGTCATGGTAACTAACGAACTACGGGCACGCACTAGAACAGGAACGGGAAGTATTGCGCAAGAGGAAACAGCAGCATCTACAGATGCAGCTGCATCGGCATTGCATACCTGCCCTTGAAAAAACACTGCCTGAAGCCCAAAGGTAGGAAATAATAGCCCCAAACCCATTAATATAGCCCAAAAGGCCATTATTCTACATACTTTTGGGGTTCAGGTGGTCGTCGCTGACCTGTACAAGCGAGTGGCAGAAAGCTCGAGGCGATAGATGTGTGCAATTAACCAAATCAGGAGTACTAGCGTTTACAACTTGACTAGAAATACTCTAAACTCCTAGACCTAAACCGTAAACCCTGTACCCTCAACCCTATGTTTGTTGATTCTGAACGTTCCCCTGTCAGCCTCCGAATCATAAGAAACCAAAACTTTCCATGTAGCTCTGTGGTGATTCTATACTTAGGGCCCAAGGGACTCCCAAATAATTACTCACCCTAAGCCCTGAACCCAAGTATGTACTATATATGTACCTGGGTTGAAGGCATACGAGACAAACTTATTTAGGGCTTAGGGTTTGCAAGTGGGTAGTTACCAGGTGTGTGCCCTTACATAAGGCTTATGTGGGGGGAACCTAGCCACTTGAAATTTCCATACAGCTGAAATCAACCAAGCGTAAGCTACCTAATCATTAAATTCCCACGCTTAAACAATAAACCTAAGTCCCTAACACCGAGGAAATTCTCGAACTTGACACCACTAACCCCTGAACCTTTCAAGCCCTCGAGCGCCTAAAACCCGACTGCTAAGCCCTGGGGAAACGATTTGTATTGGGGTGGGGGATGTCCCTAAACCCTAAACGCTACATGATATAACTAGCACTTGCCAGCTTCTTCTCCATTCCCATATCTAGCCGTATCAAACCTTCTCTCGGGGCTGCTGAATATTCGTATGCAGGGATTGCTTCTTCTTCCAGGTTGGACTACTACTTTGTCTTCTTCTTCTTCTTCCATTTTGCTTTCCATACCTAAACCCGAAACCGTTTGTATTTGTATATAAATGGACACTTGCCAATCATGAAAGCCTCCACAATATGAGTACAAGCGGACGAACCCTGAACCTCTCTACCGCATTATGGCTTAAATGCTTATGGGTTACAAGGCCAGCAGTGCTGAAGAAAGCCCCGGCTGCTCACAGCCCTACGCTCTAGATTCGGGATGTGAGCTATAGTCTAAACTCCTAGTATCCCCCTTAAGAACCCCGATAGTAGTCCCCTACATAATCCCCTATAATACCCCTTTTTGTTTAGATTATGGCTCATGTAGTGTTTGCATCATCTAGGGTGGGGCGGGGAACTGCGAAGAGTGCATCAGCAGACAAAACCCTAAGACTCCAGGCGATATACCCAAAAGAACTTGTTTCGTGAAAACACACGCTTCAATCTGTAGATTGTTGTCTTTTTAAAAGTCTCGTTTTTGGGTTGACTGGAAAGCTAACAGCTTCGATGTTTAGGGTGGGTTCTGTGTGGGGTTCGTTGAAGTCTGCTGAGGTTCATATCTTTTTTTAGTGTTTCGGGCCCTAATGGGTGGGCGGGAGATTTCCACGACTTGAGATAGCTGCCCTCGCAAGGAATCCCTGGTTTAGATGCTGAACCCAAAGCTCTAAACCTAAAACCCCAAAACCCAAGCCCTAAACCTTTAACCCTAAACCCTAAAACCTAAACCCCTTAAACCCTTAAACCCAAAACCCTTAAACCCTAAAACCCTAAACCCTTAAATGCTAAACCCGTAAAACCTAAACCCTAAAACCCTTAAACGCTAGACCGTACACCCTTAAACCCTAAAACCCTAAACACTACACTCCTAAACACCCTAAAGCCTATGTAAATGGCCTCTGCGGTTCGGGATGGGAATCCTGTGAGTACGGTCAGGCCACCTGGTGTTACCTGCCCGGGGAGGCTTGGGGTTGAGGGACTTAGGGTTGAGGGTTTAGGGACTTCTGGTTTAGGGGTTTAGTGGTTTAGGAGTTTAGGGTTCAGGGTTTTGGGCTGAGGGTTTAGGGCCCAAGATTTAGGAAAAGAAGCAAGGGTTAACAGGGCTTGTGGGGTATACTTGCTTTAGGGTTCAATGGTTTAGGGGTTTAGGGGATAAGGGTTCACAGGGCTTATATAGTCTTGGGAGTCAAAGGCTCAAGCGTTTAGGGCTTAGGCTTAGGTCCTGGGATTTACGGTATTATATGTGCCATAGTCTAAACTCCTCGTATCCGCCTGAATAGCCGCTATGATACTTCCCTATATAATCCCCTTTATAACGCCCATTAAGGAGTTTAGACAATGGCTTCTGTGGGGCTCAGGGTGGCTCTAAACCCTAAACCCAAAGCCCGTAGGATTCTCAGAAGTTGAGGTGTGCGCGCTTTAAATATAGATCTTAGAGTTTGAGGCGTAGGGTGAGCCATGAATCATGGCAACAACCCGTTTAGGGCTTAGGGTTTAGGGTTCAGAGCGCATTGCATCCACCCCCTGATCTTGTTCTTGCAGTCTTTTCTTCACCTTAACAATTCACCATGCTTTATGGTTCAGGGTCTGGGGTCCCAGTAGGAAACCATGGGGAAACTGAGGCCTTAGGGAACCTTAGAGAGGTCCCAGGGAATGCAAACTTTCGGTACGAGTCTCCACATGAAAATGCTCCGAAAGGACACGCCTGATTCTTATGGGTTTAGGGTTTAGGGTCCTAGACGCTAAACGCGCGGTGCTTCCCAGGGAGTCGCGGACGGAGCTATAGGGTTCATTATTTAGAACCATATAGGGACTACAGCAAGTATTGTTGATACTGAAGATCCTTCAATTTAGTATGCAAGAGCTCCCTAGATAAATGGAAAATAGGGAAATGCAGGAAGTTTGGTGTCACCCCAAATGATCTATTCCCTCGTCCTCTACGAGCAAAAAGCTATTGCAAATGCATGAATGCTCACAGATATCACTGTGAGATATGTTTGAAGCACCCCATGCCTACATGAATCTGGGTTTAGGGTTTAGGGTTTAGGGTCCAGCCCCGAGGCCATGTAGTAAACGGTTTAGGACTTAGGGTTTGTGCCGCCATGTTCTCTGCAGTTCCTGACACAGAGAGGCCTGAACCTTACAAACCCTCCTAACCCTGTTTCTGGGTTACTGTAAGGGAACTTAAGAAAGTTACCGCATTCTGGGCCCCCAAGCCCTAGCATATTAACTTAATTTCAGTTCCCTAACAGCAGCCCAGAATAAGGGATGCTGCCTCCATGTTCACTGCACTTCCTGACACAGCCAGTCCCAAGAAGGGGAGCAATGAAGCTAGCAGGATCTGGCCCATGGCTCTATGCAGGTCAGTTTTCTCAGACAAAGATGTGATTTGGGTACTGCCCCCGCACCCAATAGCAGTCTATAATTGGGCTTATATTCAAGGCGGTGTGTGTTCATGTTTTAGCTACTCTCCGACTGGCCCCGCTCAACTACAAACCCTACTGTTACTGACTGGGAGCAGCATCCAATATGTGAGGAAGGACTTGTCTAAGCCCACCTTGGACCAAAGAAGCCGGCACAGGCGGTCTCAAGTTAGTCACATGGGTTTGGGGCTTAGGGCCAGGGTCCTGTAAAAGGATGCCAGGGCTGCATCTGAGGTGACATGGGGGTTTATCTGGGTATATATTGGGATTTGCAGAGATACGGGATTTGCATGGTGAGGGGGTTCCAAGAATTTACAGTCCCTTTGCTGATACCTACAACAAGGATTGTGATCGATGGGGCATAAACCCCCCTACTCCTGGAAGCTCCCACATACTGTCGCCACTACTGCTGGTGATGAACCTTCTGGCAGTTTACTGGGCTGCTGTTAAGGAACTTAAATTAAGTCGCAAGAATATGGGCGTGTCGTAAATAACTAGCAACTTAATGTCTTCAGAGCCTCTCAGTTTAGCAATCAAGGGTAGGAATGCCGGGCAGGCCAGAATGTCATGCTCCAACCAAGTTGACAATTCTGAGCAGAACTTGGGGCAAAAGACAATCTAGGTGCCACTGTTTAACTGTTAAGACCTTAAACCCTAAACCAACGTCGGTTTAGATAGGTCCTCTTAGCTCCTAAACCCTAAGCCCCACACCCTAAGCCCCAAACCCTATGCCCTGAACCCTAAATCCTAATCCCTGAACCCCTAAACCCTGAAACAATAAGGGAAATCCAGAACTACGGTGGATACTAGAAATCCTGCATGACCCTAAGTACCCTAAACCTTGGGTTTAATGGTACCGTAGTATAATGAGGTCATGCAGGATTTTTAGTATCAACCGTATAACCCATATAGTAACCCCAAATAGCCCCATTATTAACCTAGTTATTAAGTCCCCCTGACCCTCCAAGTAGAGGTTTCTTGAAGTAGGTCGATTTGAGCTATAGTCTAAACTCCTAGTATCCCCCTTAGTATCCCCTATAGTAGTCCCCTGTATAATCCTCTATATAACCCCCTTTAAGGAGTTTAGATTATGGCTCATTTGGAGGTATCCCGTGCCATGGAGCAGAGGCCTTGTAGCGGCCCTTCGAGGCGGTTAAGCATTTTAGGGGAATATATAGGGGTTATAAAAGGGAGATTATATAGGGGTTATATAGGGGTTATATAGGGGATTATAGGGGTTATACTAGGGATGATGGAAAAGAAAATGGAAACTACTTTTTAGGGTTTTGGGTTGATGGTCTAAACTCCTTCAAGGGGGCTTATATAGGGGATTCGATAGGGAAGTCTTATAGGGATCATTAAGGGGGTTTAGGGTTTAGGAGTTTATCATATACAGCAAAAAGTTCTAAACCCCCCTAAACCCTCAACTTGGTGGTTTAGGAGCCAGCTGCTCCAGTCGAATCTCAAAGCAGGCCAAAACCCTTCGGTCGCAAACGCGGAAGAAGCGGTGACCCCAACCCACCAAATCAACACCCTACCCACGTGGCACTCAGAACCCCTACTAAGGGTTAACCCTCATAGGTAGCTACAACAGGAGTATAAGGGAATCCAAAGGGTTAAGGATCTAAGGTCCAAGCTAAGTCCCAAGGAGCTACTAAATCCCTATTATAATCTTATGATATTCGTATGATTAATAAGTATAGGATAATAACTTGTGTGTTGCAGTGCCGAATTTTCTTTCAAGTTAAACCCTAAACCCTAAACCTTTTCCCTCGCCGCGCGGCACGTTTCGCCTATTGCCACACTCAGCTCCTACTGGAATGTACCATGAGGGAGGACTAAGACTGCTCATTTGCTTGCCGGTTTCAATAGTGTGTGCTGTATAGGGCTTCGGATTTTGGGATTCGGCAAAACGTAATACTGGCAAGGATAACAATAATGACGCCTAAATCTATGCTAATACTCGTGATAGTAGCAATAGCAATAAGTCCCCAATACTGCGCTCATGTCTCAGAAGCATTTCCCTGGCATTAATCTTGTTTAGGTTGGGTTAGGCCCCCAACCCAGGAATAGTGGTATAACGGGAATACCCGAGAACTCAAAGGGTTAGGGATTAGGGTTATTGTCTGGTGGTCACTATCAATGAGTGGGGGCTTAACCTAAGATACTATGCGCGCGGACCTTAGCTTACAGGTGGGTAGTCTCCATAGACCTTCATAATCACAAGGAAGTCCATCAGATACCTAGGGGCTGTTGAAGTGTCCCATGACGGGTGTGTCAGGGTCCGTCGTTCAGGGCTTCAGGCTTTGGGGGGTGTTCCCTAAACCTTAAATCCTAAACCGTCCTAAACTCCTAAACCGTGTCAAAATTCAGAACAGACTGTGTGCGCGGGTCCTGCTCGCCAAAACCCTAAACCCTAGACGTTTGAGGGTTTGGGTGTTTAGGTGTTTAGGGTTACGTAAGTGTCTCTGAGTTGCCTGCCATGAGGTTCTGGCCAATTCATGATGAAACAGCTAACTCCCTCAGGCCCTCTGCTCGGAGATCTCTCGCGCTTTATGTTCGCCCTTTCATTGGGCACGCTTGAGAAAGCCCTGCCGAAGCTTCATGTGCAAGAAAATTCACGCAGTATCCTAGGTGTAGCCCTTGTTAAAGCGGTCTAGGGTCCACGGCATGGAAACCCTTCCCCCCCAGAGTTTAGGGTTTAGGGTCCAAGGCAAAACGCAGTAAAAAAAAAAAAAAGGCTCGTGTCCTTTTTGTCAGAGCCTCCATGCTGTTCAAGCCAAGTCATGGCGGAGGACAAGCCAAGAGACTAAGGCCAAATACGGAACTACCTCAAAACCCTGAACCCTAATCCCTAAGCCCTTAATCCTAAACCCTGAAGCCTAATCCCCAAACCCTGAACCCTAAGCCCTATAGCCTAAATCAACCCTGAACCCTAAATCTTAAACCCTAAACCCTGACTCCAAAACCGTAAACCCTAGAACGCACTCTAAACTCTGAACCAGCCTCTGGGTACATGGGGGTGAGAGGGGCTAAAATTATCGTCCCCTTGATCGGTACCCTAAATACTAGGGGCCGTCAAAACTTGGGATAGGGTGTAGGGTTTAGGGTTTAGGCTCTTTGGTGGTTGTAAGAATATATTGCTCTATAATACCATACCACAAAAGGAGATAACCTAGCTCTATATTATAGGAACACAGTCTTAGCAAATAAAACTCTAAACCCCAAACCTTAGACCCCAAAGCCTAAACCGAGATGGTATACTCAAGGGTACTACTCACATCTAAGTAAGGCAGCTCTGGTTCCGCCAATGCCGTCAGGAACCTAAACCCAGAACCCTAAATCTCAATGTCAAACCTCAAACCCTAGGGTTTAGGGTTTAGGGTTAACTCCAAACCTGAAATCCTAAAACCGAAGGCCTATACCCAAAAGAACGGACCCAACGGCACTGTGGATAAGCCCTAAACCATAAACCCTAAATCCTAGCCACCACCCTATGCCCGGAAGCATGACTAACTTCGGCAAGCA